CCTAAGTCCGGATCGAACCCGTGAGGTCTAGCTCTGAAAACGACAGCTTTACCACTCGGCCACGACTGCGAGTGAATCCCGTCCCCTAAATAACCTCTAAGAGGCCGCTAGGACCTAAATGGCCACTTTTTCAGATCTGCTAGAACCTAAATGGCTTAAGAAAACTTTAAACGCTTCTAACTCCTGACAGATTGTCATTTAGGAAAAACGAAATATAGATTCGGAATCAGCATTAAATTCTGCGTTAAATGGTATAGATTTCATAGCATTTGACAGGCTCAGTATGTGAATAAAAGTGTGTTGAATTGAAGAACGACATTAAAATCCTATGTTTTTTGGCCTTTAAACTATAAAAAGGCAAGGAAGCAAAAAGCTTAAGGAAGCTTAAAAGCTTAAACTTATCCAAAAGCTGAGTTGAGTTATCGATTCAAAACAAAAACGACATCAACAACTAACGGATAATGAGTGTTCTGGTAAACTAGAGAGTAAAGTGGCTAATGAGTGTTCATGGAAAGTATTAGCAGAAAAGGGAACGAAAGGACAATTATATTAGTCAGGTGAGAGCCAAAATGCAGAAAGAGACCTCGGCACCCAAGCCGGATCGCGCGTTTAAAAATAGCATTTTTCTCTGCATTCCCCGTCGCCTCAGCACTTTCCTCCCGATCCACTCCCTTTTGGTGTAATACTATAGCTGCCGAATATGTTTCCTGGAGGTCACAGGAGAAGTCTGGTCGTTAGGTAAACATTTGAGACAACAAACAGCATCGAGTACAAAGTTTTGACTGAATATCTGGAAATTTCTTCTGAAAGAAATCAAGTGTTTTCTCTGAAAATTTGTTGTCAGCTCCGAACGTTTCTCGTAAATCATTCATTCCCCCATCAAAAAAAATCCATGAATGATTAAGTCTTTAAAGTCTACAAAATGAGCACTGAAATGAGGTCTATTTGTGGTAGGAGAATGGTTTTTAAACAAGTGATCTAACAAGTGAATCTAACCGGTAAAGACTAGGTAATCAAATGTAAAAATGAATAAAAATCACCGAAACTCAATGAAAATCAATAAAATCAATAGAAATCAATAGAAATCAGCCCAGAATTCCATGAAAATCCATGAAAATCCATGAAACTTCAATGAAAAATCACCGAAACTCAATGAAAATCAATAGAAATAATGAAACCAATAGAAATATCAATGAAAATCAATAAAATCAGTAGAAAATCCATGAAAATCAATGAAGAAAATCAATGAAAATCAATGAAATCAATGAAATCAATGAATCAATGAAAATTTCGAAAAAACGAATTTTTCGTTTTTTTGTACACAGCAAGCCCTAGGCTGAAACTATGTTTTTCGGAATCAGCGTTAAAAATTACACAGAAAACAAAAAGCTCGTTGTTTTACCTTGAATTTTTCAAAAAAAATTTGCCGAGTCGGAGTCGAACCCCTGCGGCCTCCGATCATCGCTTTCAGGCTTTGAGGGTCAGAGGGTTCCCAGCTCTGAAAGCAGTGATCTGAGGGGTCGAGGTTCGACTCCGACTCAGCAAATTTTTTGAATCTTTGCTAAAACAACGAGCTTTGCGTTTTCTGAGGTAATTTTCAGCACTGATTCCCGAAAACATGGTTTTCAGCCTGAGTTTCCGTACAAAAAAACGAAATGGATTTTTTTTTTTTTGAAATTTGGGATTTGGATGGGTTTTAATGGGCAAAAACTTGCGAAGATTGATCTATTAAGCTTTGAAGATCAATTTTGATCCTGATAAACTTTGAAGATTGTCTTTGAAGACTTTTATCTAATCCGCTAGAGAATAAGCTTTTCAATGAGCTCTGATGTTTATCAAAAAAGGTTTAAGATCAATTCCCAAAAAATCTGCAAATCGGCAAATCGACCCAACAAAATCTAAGAAAAATGAAGAATTGAGTGCGCTAAAATGTCGAGTACAAAGTACACAGCAATCCCTTTGTACAGGCTAACAAATGGCTAACATTTGGCTGTTATAAACGACGTCTAAAACGATCTAAAACGATCTTGAAACTTCCTTCAGCTACTAATCGCTTAAAATCCATTTGTTAATCCGGCTGTGCAGGGGAAAATGAGAATTGAAAATGAGAATTTGCAAGAGTGATTTCCAGTCAATTTCGCTTTATTCACTGTTTCCAGTGAATGAATCCCAAATCAACATCAAACACGAAGTGAAACCATTCCCATTCGCAAACATAATATCCGTGTCGAGCCTAGAAATTGATTTCATCGGCTTTGATATCCTTTGAAAAGAACTACTTCTATCTTTTCCCTACAATCCACTGGTGTCAATTTCCAAAGCTATAAAGTTTGTTTTGGATGTCACACTGTAGTATGGAAATACTTTCGTATGGGGTATGGGAGAGATTTTTTGATGTGGCTAGAGCAGCACAACGTAGCTGTGGTTAGATTTAAGCGCTGAGAAGCAGCTAGTCGATGAAATTTTTATAGGAAAGTGAATTCTGGATGTCCCACTGTAGTTTGGAATTACTTTCGTTTGGAAATTTGTAACTTTTCGAGGTGGTTAGCGTAGCGCAACAGTAGCTGGTTAGATTTAATTGCTGAGAAGCAGCTAATCGATGAAATTTTTAAAGGAAAGTAGATTCTGGATGTCATGCTGTAATATGGAATTGTTTTCGTATTACGGAATTTATGGAATTTTTTTGAGATGAAACTAGCGCACGGTAGCTAGTTAGATTTAAGCGCTGAGAAGCAGCTAATCGATGAAATTTTAAATGGAAAGTAGATGCTGGATATTGCCTGTAGTATGGGGAATTGTTTTCGTATGGGAAATTTGTAAGCTTTTCAAGGTGGTTAAAGTAGCGCAAAGTACCTGCTTAGATTTAAGTTGCTAAGAAGCAGCTAATCGATGAAATTTTTATAGGAGAGTGGATTCTGAGATGTCACACTTTAGTATAGAACTACTTTCGTATGGAAATTTGTAAATTTTTTGAGGTGGGTAAAAGCAGCAGCACAAACGTAGCTGGCTAGATTTAAGCGCTGAGAAGCAGATAGTCGAAGAAATTTTTATAGGAAAGTGGATTCCTGGATGTCACATTGTAGTATGGAATTACTCTCTTAAGGAAATTTGTAAATTTCTCCGAGATAGTTGACGCAGCACAACGTAGCTGGTTAGATTTAAAAGCAAAAAGCAGCTAATCGATAATCGAAGGCCGGCAAGGAGCCAGCCAGCCGGTCGGCTAAGATCCAGGCCTGACTGGCAAACTCAAGAGGCTTTTTGTGGGTAATACTTGCAGTGAAGCTCAACCAGGGGAAATCTAAAAAGCTAGAGGCCAGGTCTGAAACCAGGTCTGAAGCCCAGGTCCCAAACCAGGTCTGAAACCAGATCTGAGGCAAAGAGCAGGCCTTACAGCAAAGGCTTTGAGCTTCTGTCGGACTACAACAAGCTCTCCAACAAAGGCTTCGGTCTTCTAGAGATCTAAGGCTCTTTAGGAAAGATTGTAGCTAGGCTAGAACCTGGTACTGGTCATCGGCTTTGAAAAACCCTGATGTTGCCCATGATTGGCTCAATTGCTTTTGCTCCATGGCTTTTGCTCCATAGCTTTTGCTCAATTGCCTTTGCTCAACTGCTTTTGCTCAACTGCCTTTGTGGAAATTTGCCGCTGCTCAGCCCCCAGCTTTGCTCAACTGCTTTTGCTCAATTGCTTTTCAAACCCAAACCGATCCCCAAACATGATCGTTTTCGTCGCGTCAATGTGATGATGTCTTTTCAGAAAATCGGCAATCGGTGTGTTCGGTTTGCCGAAAACGAAGTGGCCTCTCGATCGACGACCGATCGGGTGCGCCTATGCAACCAGTGCCTGAAGTTGCATTGAGAAATTTGCCTTTTTAAATCCCTTCACCAGGCACAATGACATCATCGCATGGGCCAGGGAAAGTGGTATCCTCGTTTGTGATGAAAAATCGACACTCGAAGATCGCGAAGGTAGTTCACCTTTTGCATGATTTTTGGGTAACTAAAGGTAGATCGATTCACAGATCGATTTCGACAGCTTTAAACAGCAATTTTAGCAATTTTGATCAAGATTGCTAAAATTGCTAAGCCTACTGTTTAAAGCTGTCCGAAATCTTTGATTTTCAAATTTCGATTGTAAAAACGATTGGAATTGATTAGGCAATCGATGGAGATCTGTTAGGCAACGATTGAATTGATTAGACAATCGATTGAATTCTTTAGGCAATCAATTGAATATCTTTTCACCTTATATGCCCATCAAAACTGACAACCACTGCAGCGATCTCTTCATCGTTTTCAGAAGTTGGAAGATGAAATCTGTGTCGGTGAGGTCCTCGAAGTGTTCAGGCTGGAATTTAAGGTTGTTCAGGCTGTTCAGGCTGGAATTTAAGGCTTTCTTAGGCTGTTCAGGCTGTTCAGGCTGGAATCTATTAAATCTATCCCGAATCAATCAATGCAATCAATCAGTATTCATCCATATTTCTCAATATTTCACTGATCTTTAGCGCATTCGCTTAAGCCTTAGCTCGAAGCCCCCTTGGCGCAAGCCCTTAGCTCGAAGCCTTGAAAAGCTCAAGAAGCCTTAGCGAAAGCCTTAGCTCAAGCGCCGAACGCCCAGCCTTAGCTCAAGCCTTAGCGCAAGCCTTAGCGCAAGCCTTAGCGCAAGCCTTAGCGCAAGCGTAATTAATCGAATCTGAAACCAATCTGAGCTGGGACAAAGACGAGAAAAGCGAGTAGCTCGCTTTCTCAAATGAATTCAAAGAAAACAGGGAGCAAGTCAAGCTTTCTTTTTAAAGCCTGATTGGCCTTAGAACACTAGAACAAAAATAGAGCATTAGAACGACTTGCAACCTTTGAACAGCCCAAGTTCATTTTCAAGTAAACTCACCCCCCATCCAAGCACATTTCACTCCAGCTCCTTTCTCGAGCGAATCTTTTATTGGCATGGAAACCAGATTGCAGTCCGATCTTCTTGTTCTCATAGCCATTTTCTTTCAAATACATCGGCAAAACGACACCCGGTGAGATGACATTTGACTGGAATGATCTCTCTTTATATAAGAATGTCTGCCTGTCTGTCTGTCTGCCTGTCTGTCTGTCTGTCCTGTCTGTCTGTCTGTCCTGTCCTGTCTGTCCTGTCTGTCTGTCTGTCTGTCTGTGCGTCTGTCTGTACAAGGCATTTTTCTCATTTGTATATTTGACTAATAAAGCTAAAACTTCTTTAGAAAACCTTAGAATATATTGTAGTTATGGAATTTAAAGAAGAAAATGAAAATCAAAGCTGATTGCTTCCCGAGGGCCGAACCCGCCTCGTCTGGACCCGTAGCTAAGCGCGCTACCGACTACACCACGGAGACCACGGCCAACGCCCCCTGCAAAAAAGCCGGTCTTAACCAGGTTTTCCGCTAGTCTTATGAATGAAAGGAAAAAACCCGAAAAGCCGCCTACTAACTGGTTTTTCTGGTAGGTCGGCGACGATCTCCGTGGCGCAGTGGGTAGCGTGCTCCTCTACAGCTCAGGACTACCCGGGTTCGACCCCGAGAAGTACTACTGTGTTGAGAATTTGACTTTTTTACCTATAAACTTCTAAAGGGTGTTGTTTTTGGAGTTCTAGCTCCGTTCTCGAGATGAAGAAGTGCATTACAAGGCTTTTTTTTTTCTGTAGTAGATAGATGCTGCTGTTTTTTATAAGAATATTTAGCTCAAAATATTTCCACAAACGTCCGGGCAAATCGAAGCCTAAACCATGCAATTTCTTCAAATATTGACTCCTCGTCTTCGTGCTGTTATTCGTGATGACAAAAACTCGTTTACCCTGCAAATTTCTGGCTTTTGTTGAGGAGTTTTTTTACGATGCCTGGCGTTGCAATTGTTGCCCAAATTCCACAGATCCGGCAATCGTCTCGCTACGCCTCTCCATAAAACACCTGAAAACCTTGAGTTTTGAGTTTTTGAGCTTTTGAGCACGAGCTTATTTAAAGTTACCAAATTAAGGAGTTTATTTTCACGTTTTTGGTTCAATTTGATGTATATTTCGTAGCCGATTATGAATGAAACAAATTTTTGGTAAGTAATCTTTCTAGTAGAGCAACTATTAGAGAAACTAGTAGAGCAACTATTGAAGAGGAAACTAGTAGAGCAACTAGTAAGAGCAACTAGTAGAGCAACTAGTAAGAAACTAGTGGGCAGCTAGTGGGGCAACTGGTGGAGAGCTAGTGGAGGAGCTGGTGGAGACGGCTGGTAGGTGGCTGGTGGGGCCAGCTGGTGGAGAGCTAGTGGGTTGCAACTGGTGGGGGCAGCTGAGTGGAGCAGCTGATTGGACTGGTGGAGAGCTAGTGAGAACTAGTGGGGCAGAGTGGTGGGGCCAGCTGGTAAGAGGCTGGTGGAGGCAGCTGGTGGGAGAGCTAGTGGGAGGCAGCTGAGTGGAAGACAGCTGAGTAGGTGGCTGGTGGGGCAGCTATTGGGAGGGAGCTGGTGGGCGAGCTGGTGGAGCAGTGAGGGAGTGGAGCGGCGAGTGGGGCAACTAGTAGGCAGCTAGTGGAGCAGCTAGTAGGTGGCTGGTGAGGCTGGCTAGTGGGGGAGCTAGTGGGAGCAACTAGTGGAGCAACTAGTAGAGCAACTATTGGAGAAACTAGTAGAGCAACTATTGGAGGAAACTAGTAGAGCAACTAGATGAGAGCAAGTAGTAGAGCCAAGTAGTAGAGCAACTAGTAGAGGAAACTAGTAACTAGAGCCATCCTTTCTCCTGACCGTCTCTGCCACTCTTGTGCTTCACCACGTTGCTGGAAGCCTATTCCTCCGATGTTCTTGTTGGTGACTTTGTGGCCGAGTATGAGCAGGTCGCCGTTCGCCTGTGTCTTCATGGAGTCATCTTTGGCCTTTGTTTGATGATGTCGAATGATGATGGTGATGAGGGCGATGATGTCGAATTTGATCTTCTTGCTCCTCATCATGGAGTGCTAGTCTTATCGGCTTGCGAGGCGGCTGTCCTGGCGTTGAAAGTGCAGAGTCGGAGGCTTAGGCTTTGTAACTAACTTACCTAAGTTTTAAAGTAAAGCTTTAAAGCTTGAAAGTAAAAGCTTTAAAAGCTTTTAAAGTAAAAGTTTTAAAGTAAATTTTTAAAGTAAAGTTTTAAATAAGTTTATTTTCAAGTTTTATATTCAATTTTATGTTGAAATCTAGATTTTCCACACACAAAAAAATCACCATCAGCATCAGAAAGAAACGTCTCAAATCGATTCAAATCCTCGGCTATTAAAGAGGTTTCATTCCATTTTACTGAAATTAGATAGAATTAGGCTTTAAACTTTAAAAACTTTAAAACGTGCAATTTTCTTATAAAATATAAGATTAGAAGATTTGGATAAAGATTTAAAGAAGACTTAGTGTTAAACGTAATTTATTTTGCATTTGGGTAATCAAAAAACATTGGACGGCTTGCAACTAAATAAGATTAGAAGAGATTTAGATAAGTTGGATAAAGATTTGGATAAAATTTGGATAAGATTTGGATAAGATTTGGATAAGATTTAAATAAGATTTAAATAAGATTTAATGAATTTCAATTGGATTCAGATAAGATTTAAATAAGACAAATAAGACCTAAATAAGACTTAAATAAGACTTAAATAAGTTCAGATAAGATTTAATAAGATTTAGATAAGATTTTTAATATTTAAGCTATTTTTCTTCGACAAAAGCTTATCTTTAGCCTTCCTTTTTCTAGAGTTTGTAGTCGAGGAAGAAAATTAGGTTTAAGCCAATTTACCCTGATTTGTTTGTGGTTTTGGGATTCAAAGACTTTAAAGGCTTTAAGGCTTTAAAGGACTTTAGAAGGCTATAAAGAGACTTTAAAGACTTTAGAAGACTTTAAAACTTTAAAGACTTTAGAAGAACTTTAAAAGACTTTAGGCTTTTAAGACTTTAGAGACTTTAAAGACTTTAGAAGACTTTAAGACTTTAGAGACTTTAAGGCTTTTAGACTTTAGAGACTTTAAGGCTTTAAGACTTTAGAGACTTTAAGGCTTTAAGACTTTAGAAGACTTCTAAAGGCTTTAAAAGAGTTTAAAAGACTTCAAAGGGCTTTGAAAGAGTTTAAAAAGACTTTAAGACTTTAGGAGAAGACTTTAAAAGGCTTTAGATAGCCTTTAAAGACTATAAAAGACTTTAAAAGGCCCCTTTGGGCCCGCTTAAAGAAGCGAAGATTTATAAAGACTTTAGAAAAGACAAAAGACTTTAAAAGCTTTTAAGGCTATAAAAGACTATAAAAGAATTCAAAGACTTTAGAGTGGTTATAAAAGACTTTAGAAAGACTTTAAAGACTTCAAAAGGCCTTAAAGCTTTTAAGGCTATAAAAGACTATAAAAGACTTCAAAAAACTTCAAAAACTTAGAATTTTCTTATAAATTATTGTTATTTTGTTAAAAGTATTTATTTTTAACAAATTCGAGAATTAATTAGAAGAAATAGACTCAAAATTAGTCGAACTTTAGCGCTGAAATGCTTCGTTTTGTCGTTTTTCCAGTGATGATCGTTTGAGAGAAAACGAAAAAAACATCCAAAAGTACTAAAATAAAATAAAATAACATAATTTTAAATAAAATAACATGATTTTAAATAAAAATAAAAAAGATTTTAAATAAAATAAGATTGTTTTTAAACAAAATAACATGATTTTAAAGCAAAATAACATGATTTTTAAATAAAATAACATGATTTTAAAAAGCAAAATAACATAATTTTAAATAAAATAGCAAGATTTTAATAAAATAACATGATTTTAGCAAATAATAACATAATTTTTATTAAATTATAAGATTTTAATAAAATAAGATGATTTTAATTAAAATGACATAATTTTAAAGCAAAATAACATAATTTTAAAGCAAAATAACATAATTTTAAAGCAAAAATAACATAATTTTAATTAAAATAACATAATTTTAAATAAAAATGACATGATTTTGAATTAAAATGCTTCAATGCCTCACTATCCAATTCATTTCCCCGTTAGAGCCGCTTCAGATTATAGACTTGCTCCCTTCGAGCGTATACCCCGAAATTCAGTCGCTTTTCATATTCAAGAAACGTATCGATGCTTTAGATCTAGTGGCTCTTTGCCGTAAGTAATTGGCTTATTGATTTCCGTATGTATTGTATGGTATAAGTATCACTGTGCATTTCTCTGTAGATTCCTTTCCCTTTATCGTTTGATAAGTATTATTTTAAACAGATGATTTAATCAATAACAGATTTTTATAATAACAGATTTTATAATAAGATGATTTTATAATGACTAATTTTAGCAAAATTATGTAATTAAGAAAATTTTATCAATGATGAAAATTGAAGAAAAAATGGATTTTGAAAAATTTATCTTTCGATTAAAATCCGACCGATTAAGTGAAAGGGGGGGAAAAGTCGTAGTTGTCTGATGGCGAAAAGGGGGGGAAATGATACTCAGCCGTAGTCATTACCACCAAAAAATATAGCAAATTTGCAAACCAAAGAGAAACGGATTTAAATTTGTTGATAGTTTCTTCCCCAGACGCTACAACCGATCGATCGATAAATAGGACAGTGACGTTCGACCAGTTACATCTCTAAAAATCTCTTCTCCATTAGTGTTGGTTCTAAAGCGTGGATTTCTATGATGTGAGATCAGAAAACTCGACGCCATCGAAATTTGCATTGTTTGAAAGTGTTAAAATTACGCCAACAGCAGCGTTACCTGCCTCTTGCAGGCCCCACTCACCATCTCACCCGTGTTCAGGATCGTTTTCGTTTCTTTCCCAGCTCAACCCCCATCACGACAGAACCTTTTGTGTTCAATCATACTCATTTTTATTCTGTTTGCTCCATTCCCCATCAACTATCATTTTCAATTCATTTTTGTTTTTAAATCCTATTTCTCTTTGCCGCTCTCTATATATCATTTGTTTGTAATTTTGCGACAGATTAGTTGAACGAATGAAAAGCTGAATTTTTATTGATCATCTAATTCTCAATACAGATTGATGACAATATATGGTTTCTGTTTTTTCTTCTCCACCTCATGCGCTTTCTTTTGGGGTTGGGAGGGTTCGCGGAGTGAAGCAGGAAAGTTTGCCCATCCATTTTTGACTGAAAATTAAAGACTTAACTTGCTCAAATGTTCTTTGAGCGTTCTTTGGCGTTCTTTGAGCGACTTCCAAACCCACATCCCTTTTAGTGCATTCGAATTTTCATTTAAAGAAACATTTGAACCTTGCCGTGCACCAGGAAGAGTGTTTCCAGCACCAGGCCAGACAGACAGACAGACAGACAGACAGACAGACAGACAAACAGACAGACAGGCAGGCGGACAGACCAGACAAGCAGGCGGACGAACGAACAGACAAACAGACAGACAGACAGACGAACCAGACAGGCAAGCAGGCAGACGAACGAACAGACAGACGAGACAAACAGACAGGCAAACAGACAGGCAGACAAACGCGACAGACAGTCAGACAGACAGACAGACAGACAGACAGACAAACAGACAAACAGACAAACAAACAGACAGACAGACAAACAGACACAAAGGGTACGGTAATCGGAGCTACCAGCTTAAAATCGAAAAATCAACGGGATTACGGTAAAGGGATCTTTTCAAATGAATTAGCTGAATCTTAGAAGTACTGAAAGTAACCTGTTGGCTGAAGCCGATTCCAGGCTACTTGAATGGCTTTAGATGCTTTCATTTCCGGTTGACTTGCTTTCATTTCCAGGTCACTTACTCAGCAATCAAGTGTTCCAAAACATTTTCATGTGGAAAACGCAAAAGAAAGCAAAATTGATAAGAAAGAAGCCCTAAAATGCGGGAAAAAAGAACTCGTGATGACTAGTCATTTTCTCTAGTCAAGAAATTTTCGAAGAAGAATAGAAATTTGTTGGTAGATTCAATTCACCCGTTTTATTTTCTCGAAAATGCCCAATTTTCAATCAACACCTCAGATTTCCTTCCTCATTTTCTCGGAAGAATTGCTGAGGATTCTATAAATATTGATCAACAGGTGCGTTTCTTATTTAAATTTTTGATTTGGTTGATTTGATTTTCGAGAATTTGATCAAATTTGAGATGAAAATTGATCAAAACCGGGAAAATGAGCTTTTCCGCTTTTAGGGTCCAATGTTTTCTTGTAAAATTTGTAAAGATTTTGGTATTTTTATAATCGCCAAAATAATGATGCAATGTTCTATATTCTACCAGAGGCATTTTGCGTTTTTCTTAATGAACAATTTACCAATTTTAGTTGTTGTTGTTTTTATTGGATAGAGGAGGGTTAGACGCATCAAGATGAACCCAAAAATCGCTCAATTGGTGAATTATTGCGTCAGAGAGAAAAACGTAGGTATCCCTCTGTCAGTAGAGGAGCATTTCACAAGGGAAAAGCACCAGGTCTTTCAAAAGTGACCTTTCAAAAATTGTCTTTCAAAATTGTCTTTCAAAAGCGCCTTCCAAAACTGCCTTTCAAAAGTGGCCTTTAATTTAAAATCTATTGTACCTGGTAGAACTTTTACGCTGATTCCGAATCCGCTTTTAGTTTTTCCAGTGGAGCTCTAGTAATACGGGATATTTGACATCAAAAAATTGAACCCAATTTCGCCTCTGGCAAAATCCTTATAGACATTGTATCATTGTTTTATAATTTCTATGAGCAAATATACTTTATACAAATACACAAGTAGCCTAGTGGCTATAAAGCTATAGCCTACTAGCCATAAGGCCAGGCTATAGCCTACTAGCATATGAGCCAGGCTATAGCCTACTAGCCATAAGGCCAGGCTATAGCCTACTAGCCTATAAGGCCAGGCTATAGCCTACTAGCTATAAGGCCGGGCTATAGCCTACAGCCATAAGGCCAGGCTATAGCATACTAGCCATAAGGCCAGGCTATAGCCTACTAGCTATAAGGCCAGGCTATAGCATACTAGCCATAAAGCTAACAGACAGCTATAATTTACCTAACTTCTTCATTTTCTGTTAGATAAAAGTCTGTTATTAGCCAATTTCAGATCAAAAATCGTATAAATGGTTCTCTGGATGAGAATGTGAATAAAAGGAGAATAAAAAGGAGAATAAAAACGAGAAGAAATCCAAAATGAGAAGAAGAAAGCGAGTGGAATTGGTGAGTTTTGCTTCTTTCGGTTATCTGACTCCTCAAAATTCGTTGAAATCCTAAACTACTACAGAGCTCTATAGAACGCTCTATAATGGAAGCTCTATAACGGAAGCTCTATATAACAGAAAGCTCTATATAACGGAAAGCTCTATATAACGAAAGCTCTATATAACAGAGCTCTCTATAACAGAAAGCTCTCTAGTAACGGAAGCGCGGATCTTTCCCTATAGCGGAGACCCCGAAGGACTATCGGTGGCCCATTTTTTCAAGGAGATTAACGGTGGCCCAAGATTATTGGCGGCCTATTACTTCTGAAGTTTCTCACACATTTATCCGATAACATTTAGGCCTTGTAAACCAACATAGCATTTACACAAATATTTCTCACTTACGAAAAATTGGGCCGCCGATAATCCCTTGGGCCCACCGATAATCACAAACCGACGCCCACACTAACCACTAGGCTATAGCCTAATGGTTAGTGTCACTATAGCCTAGTGGCTATAAGGCTAAAAGGCTATAGCCTAGGGACTTTTTAGAGCGTATAATTGAGCATTAAAAGCTGGGCGCAAACGGAAATTCGAAAAAACTCGTGGTCAATTCGTGACCTTTAAAAAAGGTCAATCCGTGCACTTCCCCTAGTTAGAATGAACTAAGAACTAAGAACTAAGAGGAGGAATGAACTAAGATCTCATGTATTTAACGGATGTATTTAACGCTAGTTACATCGAGTTGAAGTTACCGGAAGGTGGTTGTTCCAAACTTTTGGACCCTACTGTATAACGGAAAGCTCTATATAACCGAAATCTCTATATAACGGAAAGCTCTAAATAACGGAAGCTCTATATATTTTGGTTCCTTCCATTCCGTTATAGAAAGAATCGACTGTATTTACAGTATCATTTTATAATCAAATCTTTACAATCAAATCTTTACAATCAAATCTTTACAATCAAATCTTTACAATCAAATCTTTAGAATCAAATCTTTACAATCAAATCTTTATAATCAAATCTTTAGAATCAAATCTTTACAATCAAATCTTTATAATCAAATCTTTAGAATCAAATCTTTTACAATCAAATCTTTACAATCAAATCTTTACAATCAAATCTTTACAATCAAATCTTTAGAATCAAATCTTTACAATCAAATCTTTACAATCAAATCTTTATAATCAAATTATAAAGAAATTGAAAGCTTTCAGTTAACGGTCTTTTCAAAAATCTTCCTCATCCCTTCGATTTCTCTAAATTTTTCAACGCCGAGCTATTGACGGTTGAATGTAAGAATTTCAAGTTATTGACACAAAAGATCTCAAAGAAGGAGAACAGAAGAAGAACAGAACAAGAACAGAACAAGAACAGAATCAGAACAATGGGCTAAACAATGGACTAAAGATCACCTTCCAGTTGCTTTTTATCAACTTCAAGGCTTTCCTAGGGTCGGAAATCTGTAACAATCGTTTTCCAAAACAAATTAAGAGCTTTTCTTATCAACTCCAACATCCTTCCAGGGCCTGAAGTCTCTAACAATTGTCTTTCTCTTCACTTGACGCCGAATCGTTCTGATTTAGAGTTAACAATAGATAAATGGGAACTACCGGGAGTGATTTTTCGAGTGGAACAAGTGAGAAAGCTTTTAGTAAATTGTAAAGCCTATTGTAAAAGCTTTTAGCAAATGAATGAAGAACAAAAGGGTGCTCTTCTTGAGATCGATTACAGTTCAGAGGAATCGAGAAAGAATCTACGGGGAAAGTGCAAAGGTTTGGCCATGTTTTTGCAAAGGGATGAAGCCATGTTTTTGTTTTTAGCAATTCTATTAGGGTGTCCCGAATGAAAATACCCTCAACTTCGATTGAAATTTTTTCGGTGTAGCGAACAGCTTCCCTTTTGTTTTATTTTAAAGTCAGATATCTTTTCTAATTCTATGTTTTTATAAAAATTTACTGCCTTATAATTTTGGCTTTTTAGAATGGGAGATCAGAAGTACCGAATTCGGGTGTGCTTGCTCTACGACTTCAAACAAGGAAAAAGTGTCCGGGAGAGCCATAATTCAATCTTTAAATTTTTGGGAGAAGCTGCTTATTCAGAAGAAGCTTGTAAAAAATGGTTTCAATGATTTAGAGAGGGAGACGAAACTCTACAGGATCGAGAACGTGGTCACCCCCCTCCAGCGCTCAACGATGACGATCTTCGAGAAGCCATAGAAGATGACCCAACCTTGTCGACTCGGGAACTTGCAACAATGTTTGTTGTAGGCCACACAACAATTGCGAACCATTTACATCGTTTGGGTAAAGCGAATCTCGTCGGAAAATGGCTCCCCCATCAACTTCGTGACGCTAATAAATCTACTCAAGTGACTATGGCCGGTATTCTTCTTCGTCAATCAAAAAATCGAGGTTTTTGGGACACTATTATGACGTCCGATGAAAAATGGATTTACTACGATAACCGATCGCGAAAACGGCAGTGGTTAAGTCCAGGAGAAGAGCCAAAAACGACGCCACAACGTGATTCGCATGGAAGAAAGGCTATGTTATCTGTTTGGTGGAGTTCCCGTGGCCTTATACGCTTTGAGGTGCTACCTTCGCGTCCAACAGTCACCTCAGATCTATATGTGCAACAGCTGGAACGAGTAGACCAGGCTCTCAAGAATCAAGGTCTAAACACATCGACTGTGAGATATATCTGAAAGATAACGCGCGCCCACACACAGCAAAGAAGACGCAGGAAAAACTCGAGGAATTGGGCTGGGAATGTCTCCCGCATCCGCCGTATAGTCCAGATCTGGCACCCTTAGACTACCACTTATTTCGATCTATGCAGCACTTCTTGGCCGATAAACACTTCAAGGATCACGACGAAGTCCGAATTTGGGTAGGCCAATACTTCGACTCGCAGCCTCAGGATTTCTTCAGCAAAGGGATCCGAGATTTGAAAGAAGAATGGAGAAAGACTATTGCCAACAACGGAGAATATCTTTTGGATTAAAGCGCATGTTTTTCTTTTTGTGGAGATAAATTTATTTTACATTAAAAGGGTATTTTCATTCCGGACAACCTAATAGAAGGCACTAGGGTTGTTCTCAAAGCTATTCTCTAGTTCAATCATTCGAAATTCCCCATTTTATTCAATTTCCCATTCAATAGCATCGTTTTCTTAAATCATTTTGAACATTCTAGCTTTTTGCATTATTGAATATTGAATATTGAAGCTTTTTCCAGAATTCCGATCAATTCTTTGGTTTAATCGAGATGTCGTTGAGTGTGAAAAAGCAAAGAAGCAGCATTATGCATGTATTCGATTTGATTGGAACGATGAAAAGTGATTTCAAATAAAAACAAATCTATAATGCTATCTATAATGCTTTAGAAACGAATGCATTCCATCATTTTTCTCTCATCGACTACTCCAAGGAAGGGATCAATTGAATGAAAGAATGCAAGAACCAATCGAAACTAATGGAACTCTAGATTTTGTGCAAGGAGGTGAGAAAATCACACAAAAAAAAGCCATCTTTTGCAACCGTCCTTATTAACCTAGAGATCCTAGCATCTTTAACAACCATCTTCACCTTATGAAGCTCTAGAGATCCTTATGAAGCTCTAGAGATCCTTATGAAGCTCTAGAGATCCTTATGAAACTCTAGAGATCCTTACTAATCTCTAGAGATCCTTACTAAGCTCTAGAGATCCTTATGAAGCTCTAGAGATCCTTATGAAGCTCTAGAGATCCTTATGAAGCTCTAGAGATCCTTACTAAGCTCTAGAGATCCTTACTAAGCTCTAGAGATCCTTATGAAGCTCTAGAGATCCTTATGAAGCTCTAGAGATCCTTACTAAGCTCTAGAGATCCTTACTAAGCTCTAGAGATCCTTATGAAGCTCTAGAGATCCTTATGAAGCTCTAGAGATCCTTATGAAACTCTAGAGATCCTTACTAATCTCTAGAGATCCTTACTAAGCTCTAGAGATCCTTATGAAGCTCTAGAGATCCTTATGAAGCTCTAGAGATCCTTATGAAGCTCTAGAGATCCTTACTAAGCTCTAGAGATCCTTACTAAGCTCTAGAGATCCTTATGAAGCTCTAGAGATCCTTATGAAGCTCTAGAGATCCTTACTAAGCTCTAGAGATCCTTACTAAGCTCTAGAGATCCTTATGAAGCTCTAGAGATCCTTATGAAGCTCTAGAGATCCTTACTAAGCTCTAGAGATCCTTACTAAGCTCTAGAGATCCTTATGAAGCTCTAGAGATCATTACTAAGCTCTAGAGATCCTTACTAAGCTCTAGAGATCCTTACTAAGCTCTAGAGATCCTTATGAAGCTCTAGAGATCCTTACTAAGCTCTAGAGATCCTTACTAAGCTCTAGAGATCCTTACTAAGCTCTAGAGATCCTTATGAAGCTCTAGAGATCCTTACTAAGCTCTAGAGATCCTTACTAAGCTCTAGAGATCCTTACTAAGCTCTAGAGATCCTTATGAAGCTCTAGAGATCCTTACTAAGCTCTAGAGATCCTTACTAAGCTCTAGAGATCCTTACTAAGCTCTAGAGATCCTTATGAAGCTCTAGAGATCCTTACTAAGCTCTAGAGATCCTTATGAAGCTCTAGAGATCCTTATGAAGCTCTAGAGATCCTTACTAAGCTCTAGAGATCCTTACTAAGCTCTAGAGATCCTTACTAAGCTCTAGAGATCCTTACTAAGCTCTAGAGATCCTTATGAAGCTCTAGAGATCCTTACTAAGCTCTAGAGATCCTTATGAAGCTCTAGAGATCCTTACTAAGCTCTAAGGATCAGAAGCTCAACACTCTAATCTAATCACTAGATCTCATCGTCAGCTACATTTTCCGACCCCACATCGATAGGTTCTGATAAGCGCTTTTAGAGATTTCGAGGAATTTAGGCAACGCTCATGGTGCACTAATATTAGAGAGAATACGGTACCCAACTTAACAACTATAAACGTTAAAATCACTTGCTTTTCTTTCTTAACCTTACTACTAATGGCTTGCTAATGGCTTACTACTAATGGCTTACTTCTAAGGACTTATCTCTAATGGCTTACTACTAATAGCTTACTTCTAATGGCTTACTTCTATTAGCTTACTTCTAATGACTTACTAGTAATGGCTTACTACTAATGACTTACTACTAATAGCTTACTACTAATGGCTTACTACTAATAGCTTACTACTAATGACCCACTACTAGTCGCTCACTACTAATTGCTCACCACTAATAACTCACTACTAAAAGTTACCTTACTACTAATGGCTTTTCGTATTACCTTAAGGCCCTAGAATCAAAATTTAACTCAAAATTTAACTAAAAATTTCCATTTGAAACAAACAAGTGTACTTTGAGCTGTGAACACACAAACTTTCTGACGCATTCGATGTTAAACTTTCTACTCAATTAAGCATTTAGTTCCTTTATTCGATCAAGAATTAGCGGACATTCGATTCTTCAATGACAGCTCAACAATTTTGGATTTCTCAATTCCTTGGTGTGATCCGATCAATAAAGGAATACATTATATTTACCCAGGATGGAAAGAATCGAGAAGTAGTCCGTCTAAGGTAAATTTATAGATAAAATTTGCATAAAGCTGTAATCTAGAGCTTGGTACGGTCGTTTAGGTGAGCAAAGTGCTTTTGCTGGGCTCTTTTTTTAGCTACCCGAACCTAACGTAACGCCATTTCTCTTGTAGTGTTGCCGTAATGCCAGAGCAGTAATGCCTGCCGTACTACCTTGTACTTTAAGATTACTTTCAGTATGGTCCGGGGTCCGGGTTCGAATCCCAGCTGTGACTAGACTTTTGCTTTTCGAGCTTTCCTTTGTAAAGTAAAGGTCTGTCTGTCTGTTGGTCTGTCTGTATGTTGCGCAGTCTGTCTGTTGGTCTTTCTGTATGTTGCTGGTCTCTCTGTATTGTATGTTTGATTTGTAAAGTAAAGGTCTGTCTGTCTGTCAGATTTTGAGATATTCAGTTAATGCTCATTTTACAGTACGCTTTCTCCATTGCACCTAAACAATGGGCTCGTCTAAAGATCACCTTCCAGTTGCCAAGAACAAAAGAATGTTTGCGAGAAATGGCTGAAGTAAGTAAAGCATGGGTTTCTCAAAACCATTTTCAAATCCGTATCTTCTTTTTCGACCACCGTAATCTTATCCATTAACTGAATACTTTTAGAACAATGAATATGTCTGGATTGTTATTTATTTAAAAGGAGAAGGATATTACAAAAAAGATCGAAAGACGCTTCAATTTCACACTTCATTGGAATGCAGAGAAGTGGGCTTTCTGGAAACACTGGTGGACGGCCTGGTGCTGGTGCTGGCCTGGTGCTGGTTCTGGCCTGGTGCTGGCCTGGTGCTGGTGCTGGTGCTGGCCTGGTGCTGGAAACACTGGTGCCTGGTACACGGCAAGGTTCAAATGTTTTCTTTAAATGAAAATTGAATGCACTAAAAGGATGTGGGTTTGGAAGTCGCTCAAAGAACGCTCAAAGAACATTTGAGCAAGTTAATCTTTAAATTTTCAGTCAAAAATGGATGGGCAAACTTTCCAGTTTGACTCGCGAACTCTCCCAACCCGAAAAGAAAACGCTGAGGTGGAGAAGAAAAAACAGAAACCATATATTGTCAATCTGTATTGAGAATTAGATGATCAATAAACAATTCAGCTTTTCATTCGTTCAATTCAATTCATCAAATCATTTGAAATGAAATGATATATAGAGAAAGCCAAAGCCGAGCCAAAGCCAAAGCAGAGAAAGCCGATTTTTAAGCCAAATCTAAACTGAAAGCTGATACTTTGTAAGCTGAAAGTTAAAATCGAAGAATAAACGTTTCTAAATGATCGAAAACCCGCTGTGCGTTCCAGGATTGAGTTTGAAAACAAAATAAATCGATTCGGAAACATTTAAGCGGTGAAAGCGTTTCGCCTAGGTAGCGTCGCGTAATCGCTCATCGTTTGGCGTAAATTTGAATACTTTTCAAATAGGCAATGTTTGACTCCATGACCTCGTCTCTTCGATGCCGAGACGTCTTTTGAAGTTGGACCAAAGCAAGGAGGGGCCCACACATTATTAATTTATTTGGCTTGTGTTGTTATTTTTATTTGTGTGTTGTTATTTTATGTTAACTTTTTCTTGATAAAATAAAAGTGCGTCTATCATTTTTTTTAACAGCTGATAAAACGTTTTTCGTACTTATCGTATCGTACGATACGAAGTATATGTACGATACGATAAGTATATGTACGATACGATACGAAGTACTTTGGATGAGTGAAATGACTTCAAATTTTGCATGGGTTCTTTTTTTACATTAAAGAAACTCAAAAAATACTTTTCACTGGACTAGCACTTATATCCGGCTCTAAACTAGCAAAGAACAGGGTGCGTCTATAATTTTTTGACAGATTGTATTAACATTCTTTCAGCTGAATATCTTTAAATTGCTATAAATTTGCGCAACTCGCCATAACTTTTTTCTAAGTCAACCAATCTTTATGATTTTGGTTTCATTTTGTTGCACTTATTGCGATCTACAAAATGGCACAAAGAGCAGAAAGATTGGCCCACTGAGAAGAAAGTTATTGATCAAAAGGGTCGGAAGGAAAATGGTCATGACCTAGATGAGCCATAACTTTTTTTCTAAGTCGGCCAATCTTTATGATTTTGGTTTCATTTTGTTGCGCTTATTGAGATCTACAAAATGAAACCAAAATCATAAAGATTGATCCACTTAGAAGAAAGTTATGGCGAGTTGCGCAAACGACCCAGTTGCGGAAACCAGCCTACTCCAGCTTTTCACGAATCTCTATCGTTTGAAAAAGACGTTTTGGCTAGAACACGCTTGAACATCAAGCTTTTAAGCTTTTAAAAACATTTGCAAAGCTCATTTCCCTCATTTTACGCCTTTTTCTTATCTTTTCAATTCAAAATCTTTCAATATCATGCTCGTCTTGAAGTCTAAAACAGTTTTAGACGCTTTAGACGTTAGAGCTTTAGACTAAAGCTTTAGAACTTTATCAGGATCAAATTTTGCTTGGAAAACTATATGTGAAACGCTGAAAGTTCAATTTTAAGCAGAGAATTACGCATTTTGAAGTATTTTGACATGTGAACAAGTGTTTTTCGTTGATTTTTTTGAAATTTAGCAGTCTTGAAATGCAACTCACAAGCTGGTTAATGTATTTTGCTAAAGTTTACCTAATTTTATTGTAGAATGACTTTGTTTTGATGAAAGAACGTTGGCTCAGACTGAATACTTTTTTAATTGCGTCTCAAAGTACCGTAATTTTGGTCACAAGCAATGTCTATAAAAGCACACTCGCGCGAGAAAATTACACGAAATGTGTAATTCTTAAACCTCATTGTCCCCAAAGCGAATCGGTTTACTTTTCCCTAGATTCGTGTTAATATTATCTTTCTATTTCTTTATTATCTTTTTAGTTCTTTATTATTTTCTATTTCTTTATTATCATCTTTTGATACAATACAATACAATTTGACACAAATAAGTAGATAATTGCAATTAAAAGTTGCTAGAGGAAATAATCATTAGATAGCTTTTCTTATTAATATTCTGATTTCTTTCTTATAAGAATGATTATCAAAAACCAAAATATCGAAATTTCGAAGCGTATAAAATAGTTATTTCATTGGCGATTAGTCTTGGCTCCAATGTCCATCGCGAGCTGAACTTCTTTTCTTGTCAGAATGTTCACGATCCCTCCTTCCTGCTCAGGGTAGACGATTTTTGCATCTTTCCTTCTTGCTTCTTGAATGACGAATTGCCAACTACATCTTTCATACCTAAAAATAAACATTTTCTTTAACAGATATAGAATTGCTTTCTTCCAAATAAATCGAAAATGCACTTACCAAATTCAGCTTGATGGCAGGATGAATCCCAAGCAGTGCCTTGCGCGATCTTCGCTGAAGGTTTCCAAGTGATCTTAGGGACATCGAGCGTTGAACGCAAGTTTATCGGCCTAAAAATAATAAAAGAATGATAAAGTCATTTCTTAAAGAACATATTCAAAATCATTACTTCATCGTTGGCAGGATCTCCAACATGGCTTTCAACCCATTGCATGATGACTCGTTTTGGAAAAAATTTCAAAAGATGGTATAAATTCTTGAGGCTAAACGCAAAATATAAACAAATACAAATGTAAAAACCAACTTTTTTTTATCCTGCTCGGTCAAAACATATTTCACCAGTTTTCCTTCGAAGCCTCGCTCATTATTAGCTTTGAAATCGTACAACGCCTTGATGACGTTCAAACAATCCGTACGAAGTATTACTTGATTCCCTCTAAATGATCAAAAAAAATTTTTCACTGAGAAAATTGTCTGGACTTATTACTATTATACCAGTGAAAATCCTTACTTGTATCCTCCCGAAACGTAATATATATGGAGAGCTAGATGGATAGCAAATAACTCGCCGACAAATGGGTGAGTCGTTTCACCGATTGCAAGACTTCTAAATTGTAGAGAATTTTTAAATTAAATTTTTTGCTAGGTCATTTAAACACCAGTCAATATTTTATTTTCTGAAAAAAACTATTATTTTCAGCAACCATCCAAGGCCTTTTTCTAGTTTTAATGTTCGCTACTATAGTTAGAAAATAAAAACACTTACAGGTTTTGTCGATGATCCTTTCCAAAAAAAGATGCCTATTCCTGTCATTCCACTTGTTTTGTCACGTGAGGCGTCTGGGTACACATAGGTTTTGTCCATGTCGAATTGCTGATTGGCTGCGCGTAGCAAACCCGTTGTAAAAGCCTGTAAAACTACAGAGTAAATAACCATTGTACAAACAAAATATTAAATCATTCAAAAAAAAGTTTATAATTTACTAGCATTCTATGAATTTAGAATTGAATAAACTTAAAAAAACAACGAAACCTACAGAAGTCTCTTGCTTTTTCTTCCTTTGTATTCCCATTCTCTGCCTTCAATTTCTAAAAATAAGAAAATAGATCGTTGATTGATAAAAATACGTTTAATTATCGACTGCTATAAATTTATCTATTAAATAAAAGTTACCTTCTTTGCCGGGGAATACGTCACTCGATCCTCTTTCTTGTCCGAATATGGTTGTGCATTTTCTTAAAGTTTTCCGTTATATAGACTTCTCCGTCATGTAGAGCTTTCCGTTATATAGAACTTTCCGTTATACAGTAGGGTCCAAAAGTTTGAAACAATCACCATCCGGCAACTTCAACTCGATGTAACTAGTGTTAAATACATCCAATTTTGTTACGTTAAAACTATTTTTGTCGCATTTTTTGTGAGCTTTTTGAATATCGACTTGATTTTATTTGATATTTGTTCTTTTTTTTGTCTTGCTCTTTTTCTTGGAACACCCATTTTTAGGGGTCCAAAAGTTTGAAACAATTTCAAAAGTAACAATTTATTTAACAATTAACCAGCAATATTCAGTATTCTGTGGCGTATTCCTTTGCTTTAATAACAGCTGCGCAACGATTTGGCATTGAATCGATTGAATTTGTCTCCCAAAGATGCTCTATTGGATTCAGGTCAGGGCTTTGAGCCGGCCATTGAAGCACTTACTACAGAGCTCTATATAACGCTCTAAATAACGAAAAGCTCTATATCCCGGAAAGCTCTATATAACGGAAAGCTCTATATAACGCAAAGCTTTATAGAACGGAAAGCTCTATATAACGGAAAGCTCTATATACCGGAAAGCTCTCTATAACGCAAAGCTCTATATAACGGAAAGCTCTATATAACGGAAAGCTCTATATAACGAAAAGCTCTATATATTATTTTTGAAAATCACAGATATTCAATGCAAAGAGTTTTTGATTTAATTTGAAACGATTCAGCCAATTTTCAATTTTCTAGCGTAAGCAGGGAAAATCATGTTGCAAAAACAAAAGCAGGAAAAACTAATGCAAAAAACATGCAAAACGTTGCAATATTAGCTATAAAGATACGTTCCGAGTGTTTCCCCCTCCCTCTGCTCTTCTGAGTACTCCCCTAACTAGGGAAGTGCACGGATTGACCACCGAGTTACGACTAGCAACATAGCGCTTTTTATTGGAATAAAAAATTAGCTGGTATGTAATCAAAAACCACGAAAAGGTTTGTGGAAATCGATTAAAAAATGGCCTCAAATTTATGGCCGAGCGCCGAGCCTTTAATGCTCAATTGTACTCTCTCAAAAGTCCCTCAAAAGTACAGGGTGCGGCAAAAGTTCGGAGCCGCTATGAAAAAGATTGCAGAAAATTTAGCTCACGCTTTTTTTTGTGTCTGGTATACTTTTTTTCCTTTTTTTCGAGTATAGTTAAGGTGATTTGTTACAAGAATTTCCTTTTTAGGAGCAAAATTCGTAAAAATGAACGCCAAAAAACGACGCGATGTGATTCTCGGATTAAATCAAGGCGGAAAAAAAAGCCCAGAGATTGTAAAAATCACGAAATATCCAAAAAGCACCGTCAACAATGCAATTAAACGCCACATGGAGATAAAGAACAACAAGTATCGTCCTCGAAGTGGTCGACCACCAACTGCCGTAACACCTACGAACATCAACAAAATTCGCTTTCGGATTCGCCAAAACAAGCTGCGGTCGATGCGAAAGATGGGCAAACAGCTGAAAATTAGCCCTCGAAGCGTTGGAATGATTGTTAAAGGGAAACTAAGATTCTTTAGCTACAAATTGGCCAAAGCACACGTCTTGAGCGACAAATCACAGAAGAAACGAAAGCGTCTAGCAAAGAAGATGGTGCGCTTGGTGGCGACTGGCCTACTTGAGAGGATCCTCTTCACAGATGAAAAGATTTTTCTATCCAGTCATTGCACAACCGCCAAAATCATAGATAACTTCTCAAAAGGGGTCTGAAGAACACATTTGCGGCAAATTTGATGGTTAGAAAGCATTTTCTGCTTCGATTATGGTGTGTGGAGGTGTGTGTGCTACAAGCAAGACACCGCCGGTTTTTTGGACAGAAACGTCAAGATGAATGCTAAAAACTGCCAACAACTGGTATTAAAAGATGTCTTGAAACATTGGGCAACAAATCACTTTGGACAAGCTGGTTTTTCCTGCAACAGGACTGGGTTCCGGCGCATGGTGCTCAACTCTCAACGTTTGCGCTCAGTTGTTTCTAGGCTTTTGGGATAAGACCATTTGGCCTTCAAATTCGCCAGATCTTAATCCCCTTGATTACTCCGTTTGGGCTATTTTGGAAGGCAAGATCTCGATGAAGACGTATCAAACAGTGGATGCTTTAAAATCTGCTCTGAAACGAGTCTGGGATGAAATAACTGTTTAAGCGTGCGCCACCATTGTGAGGAACTTCCCAAAGCGTTTCAAGAGGTGTATCGAAGCGGATGATGGAAATTTCGAGCATTTGTTATAAGTTATTTGTTGTTATGATTCGAATAAAGAATTTGTTATTAATTTTTAACTTTTTAAAGCGAGTTTTTAAACCTTTAACTATCTTAAGAAGCGGCTCCGAACTTTTGCCGCACCCTGTATAGCCTTATAGCCTAGTGGTTAGTGTGGGCGTCGGTTAGTGATTATTGGTGGCCCCAAGGGATTATCGGCGCCCCATTTTTCGTAAGTGAGAAATATTTGTGTAAATTTTACGTTGGTTTACAAGGCCTAAATTTTATCGGATAAATGTGTGAGAAACTTCAGAAGTAGTAGGCCGCCAATAATCTTGGGCTGCCGTTAATCTCCTTGAAAACATGGGGCCACCGATAATCCTTCGGGGCCTCCGCTATCAGGGAAAGATCCGCGCTTCCGTTATATAGAGTTTTCCGTTATAGAGAGAGCCAACTGCAGTATTTTTAGGATTTCAACGAATTTTGAGGAGTCAGATAACCGAAAGAAGCAAAACTCACCAATCCGACTCGCCTTCTTCTTCTTATTTTTGGATTTATTTTCCTTTATATTTGCATTCTCATCCAGAGGACCATTTATACGATTTTTTGATCTGAAATTGACTAATAACAGACTTTTATCTAACAGAATATGACGAAGCTGGATAAATTATAGCTGTCCGACATTTTGGTGTTTTTGAAACTTACAGATATTCAATGCAAAGAGTTTTTGATTTCATTTAAAACGATCAGCCAATTTTCGCGACAATTTTCTAGCGTAAGCAGGGTAAGCAGCGTATGTTGCGACGTATTTTCTAGCGTAAGCAGCGTATGTTGCAAAAACAAAAACAGGAAAAACTAATGCAAAAGCATGCAAAACGTTGCAATATTAGCTATAAAGATACGTTCCGAGTGTTCCCCCTCCCTCTGCTCTTCTGAGTACTCCCCTAACTAGGGAAGTGCACGGATTGACCACCGAGTTACGACTAGCAACATAGCGCTTTTTATTGGGAAAAAATATTAGCTGATATGTAATCAAAAACCACGAAAATATTTGTGGAAATCGATTAAAAAATGACCTCAAATTTGATGGTTGTTAAAAGGTTTTTTTCGAATTTCGAAACACCATTTGCGCCCAGCTTTTAATGCTCAATTGTACTCTCTCTAAAAGTGCCTAGGCTATGGACTTATAGCCACGAGGCTATAGCCTTATAGCCACGAGGCTATAGCCTTATAGCCACTAGGCTATGATCTTATAGCCTAGTGGTTAGTGTGTGCGTCGGTTAGTGCGGGTGTCATCATTTTTTGGTTCGTGTATATACGTATCGATACGGAGACATGATTATAAAAAAGCCAAAATCATTTTACAAATTTTACGAGAAAACATTCAATTTCTCAAACCGGAAAAGCTCATTTTCCGCGTTTTATCAATTTTCACCTCAAATTTGATCAAATTGCAAAAATTTAAATAAGAAACGCACTTGCTCATGAATCTTTGAATCTTCAGGAATATCATCTAGAATCGAGTAGAAATTTGAGGTGGTGATTGATATACTAGACATTTAAATCATGAAAAAGAAATAAATGTTAAAAAAATGGAAAAAACTGAAAAGCTTTCTGCATTTTAAAGCCTTTCTTATCTCATTTATGGCCCTTTTTTTGCATTTTGAGGTGTGTTAGTAGGAAAACACGATTCATCCCCAGCTGATTGCCCCATCGGCTTGCTTTGTTCTTTGTACAGAACGGCAGAGAGCATTCGAACGGTTTTCGAGCTGATGTTGAATTTTAAATATCACAATTTCCCGGACTTTGAAGTGAAAGCGATCACCAAAGCGCTCGCGAACATCAAAGAAGTAAATGAGATTCGTCCATTTCTCGAACACTGTCAAGGCTTTGGGGAAATTCTTTCGAATTTCAATCCAAAAATACCTGGATAAATACCTAGCGTTTATATGAGAAATTTTCAATGCCTGGAGCCGAAATGATCTTCATTGAAGTCGATTACAATTACGACCAGATGCATTTTGTTGGTTGACTTTTCCCTAGATTCGTGTTAATATTATCTTTCTATTGGGTTGGGGAGAATGAGTCGGCGCCGAAAATCAAAAAAATGTCTAAAACTTCTATTCGACTTCGTCAAATAATATGCGTTTGATATGAGTAGGATGGTTAACTAATTCTCTACAAAATGACATTTAAAAGAAAATTCAAACAGCGCCTCCGCTCAAGAAAAAGCCATTTTTTCACAAAAACTACAAACTGTGATCTAGAAAAAACCATTGGTGGGATCTTCCTGCAAATTTGGCAACTTAAGTAATTGAATGTGCTCTATCTTTTTATATAAACACCAAAGAAGGTTTATGTGAAAGAAACTGTTCAAATGATGAGTCGGACTCTTTGCCATTTTAACCAGCTGCGTTTGGAAGTTCATAAACTCCAAGAAAGAAAAGCTT